ATTTTTCAAAAGCAGAAATTCAGACATTGACATCTGACATTTGAAAAGTGGTTTTGGCTTTATATTTACAATATCTAAATTGAATTCAGCAACTGCATTGAAAAAGTGCTTGAGCTCGAAAACTACAACATTTTATATTTAATGTTTCGAAATTGACACTTTTGAATCAATGATTATTTTATAATTTGAACATTTCAGCAATTTTGACGTGAAAAAACAAATTAAACGAAAATAGAATGGCAAAATTGTTTCAATTCTTGTTTGGTACAATTGGCCATTTCATTCCGAATATTAAAGAGCTATTTCAGTCTCTCTCACTCTCTCTCCCTCTGACTCTTCTCAAGATGAAAATTAAGATGTTTCCCAATTAAATGTTGTGAAAATGTGGCTTATGATTTATACGGTAAATGCAACAATTTTGATGCAATTGCAGTGCAAACGACGCATGGTTCCATGGAACCATGAATGGAAATCGTTTTGACATATAAATTGCAATTAGTTCGTGTATTGCAAAATGTCTGCATATATTTATATGTGCAAGTGAAAATTATTGTGGTTATAGCTGGTTTTGATAGTTGACGGTCGAAGGCATTTCATACGTCAAATAGTGCGATTCGAAATGTAGCTTCCCAAACCCCGTTCGAATACACCCGCTAAAACACACACGCACACACACTCACCCACACTCATGAACATTATCACAAAGTTTGTGCTGCATTGTGTTCAAACGTATAGGCCGAGTTATTTAATAAGGTGTGGAATATACAGTGTTCGTATCCGAATTTTATTATTCCTCATCGTAAACAGAATATCAACCTCATCAGCTGGAATGCATAACACACACTCACACTCACACACACACTTACAAATACAAATTTACCGAATTGAAATGTTTCTGTGAAACAGAACCGATAATTACGCATAAATTATATGTAGCATTGTGCCACATAATTTGAATGCATTTCAAATGTGAAATCAGTCACTTCGTCTCATTCTCGATCCATCTGACTCACTCTTTGCACCCTGTCCATTTCCATATACATATTTTGCATACATACCGATTATCCGTTACTCTCTGAAATTATAATTGGTTAATTTTCTTGTCACACATATTTTAATTGGTTTTCATGCTTTTTTCCCTCCATTTGTATGGCATCTGGAAAATGTTAGCGCTTTGAAAAGTTTGGTCAATCCAATCGTTTCCAATCAAATCAAGCTAATTAGTTACGCTTTCAGAGAATTAAAACCAATTTTTGCTGAAAAAAAAAAAAATTCTCCATGGCTCATTGGTCCTTTCTAGATGAATAAATGTTGCATCGATCATGCACCAAATTCCGTTCACCAAATCAATTTCGAGAAAATTTGCTTTGCATGCAAACATGCATGGCGTATTAATGTTGTTGCATTTCGTAAATAACTTTCGATTTGAAAATTCATTCTGTTTGTATATTCGATGAATATTCTTGAATGGGGATGCATTTTGGATATTTGCGTAATTTCAAAATCACAGCATTACTAAATATGCGGATAATTCGAATGATGACACTTGTGCAGCAATTCGTCCGCATTGAAAGGCACATATTTCATTGTAAGTTAATTTCCGATTTCAATTTTCAAATTGAAAACGGGCATCTCACGTGTAATTATCATTTTAAGGTATGCGAATAACGAGCGTTTATGAGATTTCGAGATTTATGGCGTGCTTGTTAAATAAATAAAGCGTTAAATTATGCCACTTAATAATTTCGTCGCATTCTCAATCGAAATACCAACATCATCTTGATATCAGTTAAACTTATACAACGTTGTTCGATGTATTGAATTATTCGTTTTTTATTCGTTTACATTTCAGGTGTTGTACATTGATGTGTGCATGAAATTATTGCACCTGATTTGATTTACAAATATACTGACTATTTTGAGCGCCACTGAACATTTCGTTCGGGTCATTGATTTCAAATGCTCAATCATTTCATCGCTATTATTTGAAATTGATACAGCAAACTGTCAATTCATTAGATAAATAATCAAATCACGATTTGATATGATATGCAATTCAAATGAATTACGAAGAAAATGCATTAAAAATGTACATTCTCATAAACTGAAGTACATATTATGTAGTTTGCAGTTCTCTTGATTAAAATGGATGCTATCGAGCTGAGTTTCATAATTTGCTGAAATATTTTATGGCCAAAAGTACATAAAGCTCGTACATTCATTGTGAATATTGCAAATGGGTAAAATTGTAAAATGTCAGAGAGAATTTATGTGGTTTTCAAGCTAAATGAAGTGAAAATGTAGAAGAAAGGCTAATTCCAACTGAAAATGATGAGTTTTGTTGCAAAATTATTCCAAGCACTTTTAATTTGCTTTAAATAAGAATGTCGTAAAGAATGAGCGTGTAATTCTGTTGAAAATAAATGTAATTCTCCAAGAACATTTGATGGAAAAGATTTTTGCAAAATTGCACCATAGTTTGCTTTGTTTTGCACAAGTAAAATAAGTTTAAATGAGCACATTCACATATCATTCAGCTCATTATCATTTTAAATGGTGCCTCTTGTTCATTCATTACCATATTTTAATCCATACAAAGAACTTTCGGCAAATTTACAAGATCAGCTTCAGTACGTCGAAACAACGATCGTTCTGTACCATTGGCAAATGTTGGCATATTTTACGATTCAGCACAAGTTTTTTGATTCATTTTTCATTCGGTTTTTTGTATGTGTGTTATGTGAGAGTAAGAGAATATACCATTAACATGTAAGTCACCTCATTTGAATAAAATCGTTGTCTATTGTTGTTTATTGTTTCTTGTCTTATACTCTGTAAAACCGACAAAAAGACATAAAACTTTTTCATCTTTCTCATTCTTTGTGCGTCAATTATTATTATTGTTGTTATCGTCATTGTCGTCTTCGTTGTATCTTATTCGGTTCGTTTTGTCAGAACAAATCACTTTCGTGGTGCGCAATTCACGGCGAAAAGTGCGGATAAATTTAATTAATTCGTAAACAACGTTTTTCACAAGTGAATACTCCCATAGTTTATTATCAACATCATATAAGCTCCCATACGAGCAAACGAACAACATATTAACTTGAAGAGGGTGTCTGTATGTATATACAACTGTGTACTGGGGATTTACAATCATCTTTCTCATGCTCCGACAATTGCAATATATTCAATTCCAAATGGCATGAACAAATGGAAAAATATTCTACGGAATACTAGTTTTGTATAACAACAACATATTTTAATTAAACGTTTTCTCCATTCATTTGTTTGCGCAAAATCATGTTGGCGCATTTTACACTTTTGACTTTTCATTTGTCTCCAGAGATTTCTTGTGTTTTAATAATATCTGAACTTTGCTAATGAAACGGAAACTGTACGACAAACGAATACAATCGAAACTATCTTGATTCTGGTGTTTGTTTAAAAAGCAAGTTAATGATAACACTGCTGCTAATCAGGCATCGAAATCATCGAAGAAACCCCCTTTCATCATTTTACATGACCTTTTGAATTACTCTCCATATTATTAAACATAAGTATAGCGCAGTATTCAGTACAGAAATCCAAATCTAAAGCCAGTTTACAAAGTTTGCGAAATCGGTAGCAGGAAGCGCAGAAAGAGTACCCGAAAACCTTATCGTTTCGAGCAATTCACATAATACTTAAAATCAGTGAAGCGCAGTGGGTTTGAAATGCATTTGAAATATGCATCACGTAAACTCATGACCATTGGCTCGCTCGTTCAATCTCCCTCGATTTGACCGTCTCTTTCGATGTATGTATGCCTTGCAATTTAAAGGATTAATTTTATTCGAAAGCGAAAGAGCGTGTTATGCTTTTCTGAATATCTGAACATTGAACATGCAAATATACTGCCACAATGATAAATTGAAACATATTTTGTCCAAAACTGTATGCCTTTTCAGTCGGATGTGCACCGTTTGAAATTGACTTTTTATTAGAGTCAATCGAAGCAATGTGCAACTTTATTCAAACGATTTTGCAGTGAAGGTTCAACAGAAAAATGTCATTAAAAAGTTCAATTTTACTTCTATGCTTCACTTTGGTTAGGCGTTTTTAGTCAGGTAAATTCTCTGTACATTCGAATTATTTTGGCATACATATATATATCGTCTGCTATTTTAATGGGAAAAGCATGTCGGCGATGCTGCACATCACTGCACTTTTACTTGCAAAAAGGAAATGAGATGGTCGACAAAAATGGTCGAGTTCAGAAAATGTGTTCAGTTCAAAATCCCCCGTACTTACCCAACAAAAGTGACATGCAATTCGGATTTGACATCATTTTTACATTGTCATTTCGGCTCTTTATATGTGTTGCAGCCATAGCCCCGACATACACATAAAATCATTTGGTAGCGATTTTTTGACATCACAACCATCATCATTGCACCTAAACGTTACGATTACACAGTAACCAATTTTATTTTATTACATAATGCAGAGGACAGGCACAAAATATGGTGGCAATTTTCGAACAACAGCACACGAACAAATTTTGTCGGGAGATAATTGCCTGTGTTTGATGCCGTAACGAGATTGTGCCTTAAATTTACAACCGGCTAACGAAGAAAAGGGCGGGAAACAACCGGAAATTCAGAATCAAGCTAAAAATCATTGGATAAACACATCGAAAATATAAGCTCAAAATGAAAATTGGAGCAAATGTTTGCAAACGAAAATAGAGCAAAGTTAAATATCAACTAATGTAAAATGTCACTGATCAGAAACATACATAGTAAAATCCTTTTTCGTAAAAGTTAGAGAAATCTTTTATTAATATAAGCTCAAACAACTTACCGATTTTTCGGCTGAAAGAACGGATACAAAATGAAAATTGGAGCAAATGTTTGCAAACGAAAATAGATCAAAGTTTTCAATATTTATTTAATTTTCTATTTCGTTTTTATTTTCATTTTTTGACGAAACAACTATTTTTTTGTTAGAAGTGCAATTACATCTAAATTCCGATCTGTTTAATTTTGAGCTTAATTTATGGTTTCTACATCAAAAGTGTGTGTATGTGTGAGTTTTTGTATGTCTTCCGGACACTGTTTCACATTCAGATGGCTTCTTTTAAAATTGCATACTAAGATGAGTTGAATTAGTATTACTTGTATACCTGTGCTAAGTAGTTTGTCTAATTTCTCAATTAACACCTTATTATCATTGTTCATTTCAAAATGTTCATCGAATTTTCGGGCAATTCTATGAAAATCCCTTTTTTCATTTTCATTCTAGCTATTTTGTATGACTTAATACTTAATTCGTATATTCTTTGACAAATATGCAGGATTTCAATGAAATTGAATATAGTTATTACGATATTCTTACAAAATACACTGAACCATGATTAGTAAAATGTTGGTGAGTGTGAAAATGAATGTGAACGTGTGTGTGTATTACTATAATTACAATTAGATTCAATAAACATCCAAAATAGGACACTATATATTTTTTTTCAATTTTGTTATTATGATTATGTTTGTGACAGAGCTGTTTTTTCTTGGACTAATGGCGGTTTTACTCTCACTTGTTAATAACAAGTTGTTATAATATTGCAACTTTGTCCCTTAAAACTATATGAGTCGAAATCGTATGTCGTACTCAATTCAACATTACATTCAAGAACGATTAGATAATATCTCTTTCTTCCGTCTTTTTATTTCTTAAATTTTCTTTATACTTTGTTCGACATTTTCTTTTTATAATTTTTGAGCTTCTAATCATCCACCTTTCCAAATGAGTATAATTCTTTCGATTTGCTAGGGATTTTCGCGAAAGAAGTGAAGACCCTTTTTTAGCTCTTCACTTTCTGAAGCGGGAGAAAATATTCAATTGGTTTTTTGGCGAAGAGAAAAATCTTTCAATTTGCTAAGGTTTTTTGAGCCAAATTCTCTGAGACAACCCACCAGGAATGAACAAATCAAATAATGCATTTTTGAATTTGTGAGAGACCAAATAGAAAATTACCCCTTTAGATGTTAGGAAAATTTTGAAATGACCCTCCCTTTAATCGTCAACGTCAGAAGCTATGATTACAAATATCATTTCATGTTAATCTATTAAATTGTATTATAGCACAGAGAAAGTGAGTTTCGAATGTGAAAAACGTGTCAAATTAGCACATTGTCACATTCAAACTACCGTCAATAATCGAACTTTGTTTTGAAAACTTTTTTGAAATATGATTCTGTTTAATTTCATTTAAAAAAAATTAATTTTCTTCTTCATAATTCTACCCTTCGTATTTAAAAAGTAGCAATAGTGTCACTTTCCTGCAAAAAGAGTATCTTGCGATTAATTCTAAACGTGTTAAAACTACATTGAAATTGATGCATACTATATGTCTATACACAGTAATTGTTCAGCATCAATTTTTGACTAGATAATCCACACTATTTGTATCTTGTCACTTATATACATAGTAAATAGTATGTGTTGTTGTTAAAGGATAGAGGAAAATGATACCATGCGTGTGTTTTGTTCTTCAAAAAACTTCAATCAAATGTACAGAGTGTAATGTTTTCAATGTTTAATTGAATATTATATGTGAAATGCTAATGAAAACGTCGTTTAAATGGTGCTCTTTTTTAATATTTAGGAAAGAATAAATTGTGATAAAACATTCATATTATTTACATAAAAACAGCAAATGTTGGATCTCCCATCCATGAAAATGATGTCAACGATATTCGTCTGACTAGCTTACATGACTTATCTAAAAATGTTGGTATCAGATTTTGCTTTTTTTTTTTTAAAAAAAAAAGAAGAAGAAATAATTTTGAATTTCGTTTTGATTTTTGTTCGCCAATAATAATGCTGTGTTTTTTGCCAAAATGTAATCATTTATTGATTTGTGACTCCGTGAGAGTCAATATGCCAATACTAATAGGGCCTCCATACCGAATTACCATTGTCTGTGTGGTGTGGAGCACGTGGAACGACCATTTGTCGTGCACTATCTTCGCCAGCTCGTGCACTGCTGCCACAATTTCCAATGTGTGTTAGATCAGTGCCGCCGATCATTAGATTTTGTTGTTGTCGACCCGATGCAGTTGTAATGTGCTCCATCACTGACTGTAATTCACCGTGAACCATTGAGTTTTGTGCGGCATGTGAATGAAATCCATGCGTTTGGTTTGCGGCCGTATACAATTGGGAATAGAGCAAACTGGCCGGTAATACGGGATAGATAGAACTATTGCATCCAGGACCGCCACTGCTGCCAGTGCCATAGGAATTTTGTGATTGATTCACACCACTAATGAAATTTGGATTGTTACCAATCGCAGAACTTGTATTGTTCGAAAGATTTCCACCGTTTGTATTGGCATTGCCCGAACCATTGTTGCCATTCCCTAGGTTTGGTGTGTTTGATGTGAGTAAATCATCTTGTACCGGTGATTCGGCTTGAGATGAATCACTTAAACTGCGTGGACCATTGTTGCTTGTGTGTAAATTGTAATCATTTGTTGTGGCCAAGTAGCGTGGAATATGATTTGTTCCATTTATAGCAGCTTGTGATAAACTTCCGTGATTTCCGGTCATTTGACCGCTCGGACTAGTTCCAACCAAATTGCTCAGATGCTGATCTAAATCATTTGCCGTCGAATCCGGCAACACTGCGACAACGAGAAAATGGAAACAATTTTTTTTTCGAAATGAATTTTCAAACTTTAATAACTATTTCTTCGGTTTAATTCTCTTTCTATTTCCTTTCACTATCTTTTTTCTTCTAACTAATTTGACAAGAAACAATCTCAATTCCAAAATGGAACTACCTAACCCTTTCATTCTATATAAAAACTTACTTGGTAAACACTCACGTGCATTGTTCGTAAAATCTTGTGTGGTTGCTTGATCGGTGGCCGAACAGCTAAATCCCAGTGCGGGATTATTGAATTGTGCAGCCGATGTTGTTCCGCATGTTGATAGTCCGCTGCTTGTCAGATACGGTGAATAGTTTGCCGAACTGTAACCCCAGTGAGAATTTGCCGTTCCTAAGCCAAATTGTGACATATCTAATGAAAGCAAAAAAAAAAGCACATTGCAATTGAAATACATGCGTCTCTACTCTCTAGCTCGTCTCTCTTTTGGACCGTGTTTATTGAAATTAATGTGTATGTGCTGTCATTTTTTTTAAATTACTCATTTTTCATTGAAAATAAATTTCGAGTGTGTATTTGCATGTGCGAGTGCTGGGCTTTCGGCTTGGGCGTGAATACAAACTTAATAAATTTAATTTTAAAATAAAGCCAGAGATGATGAATGGAAATGATCCATAAGCAAAATATACGATATGTGAAAAAAATGAGCCAGCAAATTAATGAATGTCAAATTATTTATTGATGGCATGAGGATGTGCGACGGGCCATTTTTTTTTTTTTCAATACACAACACAGGGTAACGTTCAGCCAATTTAATGAGTGTTTCGAATCAATTTTGTCACAAATTGTTATTTAAAGTACTAATGATATTATGTTGCAGTGTGTGCGCCCATACGCATGAGTGTAATTAAAAATATTTCATAAATAAAATCGGTGTGTTGAGGCCGTGCGAATTGTGATGAATATTCCCTATAAAATTGTTGACTTGTGTTGATATTTAATCCTAAAATCGGATCGGTGCTGTTTAAAGTGACCGACTATCTGTGCACACAAAAAAGTACGTTACGCACATGTGTACATTGCACAATTTTCAGATAATTAAATTTAAAAATAAAAAAAAAGAAAATTAATGGAAAATTTAATAAAAATTGCAACCATCAGCTATAATACAATATCACAAAATCGCTAAAATGATTCTAGTTCAATATATTTTAATGACAGTCAAAAATATTTCGATGAAGCCGATAAAAATGTTTAATTATTTTAAAAGCAATGTAAATAAAACAATGGAATACTCACTTTGACAATTTCCAATCGGTGGCATACGAAAGCCCGACAATGGATCAGCAGGAAAATGAAATGGACGCTGACCGAATGCAAAATGAAATTGCTGTTGTTGCCCTAAAAGAGATAGCACTTCATATTTTTAGTTTGATTTCTGTCCTCATTGAAACATTCGCATAAAGTCAATTGTGCGCGACAAATGTGCTCTCTCTTTCCCCTTTTGCGATCTTTGTTTGTTATTCAAACCGGCTAGCGGTTTAAAGTCATTTTGAAATTAATTGGCCTTACTGCCTGAAAGCACGAGACGATACCGGTCCAGGAAAAAAAGCGTCACTTTGCTTGGATTTTATATTTACCATTGAGTGTCTCTTGAATATTTTCACATAAAATTAATTAAAATACTTAATGGTGTCGGTGATTTCATACGAGAACAATCAATAAAATGTCTTTCAACTCGTGTCAAACGTAGCGAGATGTGCCCGAAATTTAATGGAAAGGTATCACGAAGAAGGATGAATGAACTTAAGGTCCGTTGAAAAATGCACTCGCTCGCTCGTTAAAACAATGTCATTAATTTAGTTTTCCCAATAAAATACAGCGAAAAATTTAACGATGCAGCACCAAATGAGGGATCACTCACATCACATGTGTGCTACATAATTGGTGTCTTTTTGAATGCGATGCAAAAGAAAACGTTCAAATGTATAATTGTTGCTTTTAAGCAGTTTGTAATTTAAAATATGTGGATGTGTGTGCCCGGGAAAATGGCTTTATGGTGACGCAAATTTTAAATGTGCGATTTGTCGACCGTGTGTATTATTGCTTGAGCTATCCAATTTATCTCAGTCCATGCCAACTGATACGAATTTATTTTGCAAAATCACCATGTCTTTCGCATCTTTGTCTTGCTACATTAATTATTATTTTCCAAAGAAAATAGCTTCTTCTTCGTACATTTCGTTGAAAATAGTTTTTCGGTAGATGTTCATTCGGCGACTTTTGAATTTGAGTGTTGTTTTCCACGTATGGATTTGACAAATCTCACACTTAAGCAATGAATATGTTGGCACTTTAAAATGAATCGTTTCGGTAAATCAATTTTATTTCATCCCCATTATTTTCCCTCTTCGGGTTGCAATTTGTATTTGAACTCGAACGTTCTTTTGTGTATGTGTGTAAGCACATATGTGTAAAAGGCACACCGAACTACACTTGGACGGTTATCGAGTCGATGAGTGGCAGGCAAATGAGTGAGTTTTCATGTATACAAGAAAAAGGGCAGCAGACGGCCACACAAGCTACACGCATAGCTTAAAACAAAGAAGAACATGTATAAATATCACAATTTAACAATTCCGAAATAGATTTTATTTTATTTTAATTCATCGTGTATGTGAGGCCAGTCAGCTATATTACTCCGTTGTTGGATTAGCAAAGATAAAGAAGCACACAATACACTATTCATTTTCCAGTGAACAATGAAAATTGTCTGACAACACAATTCGCCTGGCCATTGTTTCAACGCAACACTTTTCCTTTAATTTTATCCAATTTGCATGCGTGTGTGTGTGTGTTGAACTATGAAACTGGTTTCGAAATGATAGAGTGTAAAGACCAAAAGTCTTATTTTCATTTTCTAATCTCTACCTACGAATCAAATGTTTATGCGATGTCGTCTCGTGTGCTCATATAGATCTAAATAATTGGTAATGGTGTAGAAAGGGAAAAACGGGAAATTTTATCGCACGACAACAGCATTTTGTACGGACCAGAGAAATGTACGAGACGGAAATAGAAAAGCAAAATAATCGACTGGTTTTTGCACACAAAGTCTATACACATACACACGAGTTTAAGTGATTTAGCCACAGAATCGCGACAGATGTTTCAAGCCCATTCATGTGAAATGCTTTTGAAACTCTGCTGTGTATGATGTCAGATTTTGTGCTGAGTGAGATTTTCTCAATTAAAGAGTCTACAACTTTGTGTCATTTCAACACTTATCATGATCTGCACTTTTGTGCTGATTTCGGGCTTATTTTCGAAAATTTTCCATCGGACATGAATTTCATAAATTTATTCGTTGGATTTTTTCCCCATCCATTTTTTTCAATTAATTGAATTTTTCAATCAATTATTTCCTTAGTTGTGAGGGTCAATTAATTATTTTCATTAAAATCTCACCGATGTTATGGATAATGAGTATTCATGTTTGGTCATTGAAAACGTATTTACTCGATCGAACTGCCGCCAGTGACACTGTGTTTATTTTGGTATTTCAATAAATTTGAACAGTTTGCGCGCGACGACTGGTTAAAGGCGAATCGCATTTATGTAAATATGTATGCGCTGGTCAAATATTTTGACCCGATACAAATTGAATACTCTTCACTCTCTCGTTCTCTTTCTCTCTTTAAGTTCGAACGTTTCTACAATAATTAAAATATTTCGTATGTGTGTGTTCGTGTGATCAACTCTTGTTGATGCTTTAAATTAAATGGTTTAGTTCCTTCACAAAATAGCACAAAGTAAAGTTGTTTGTTTGTGCAAAGCAGCATAGAGAATTTCGACATGACCATGGGTCACTTGCTTCTCTTACTCACTCTCTTTCGATCGCTCCTTCTTTCAATTTGTACATATAATGCTCTCTAAAATTCATTAGCAGCTCGTCCGTTCTCTTGATCTTTGTTTGACTTGTCCGTCGTTCGTATTGCGAGAGATGGAATGCTCTTTCATATGACAGAGATGCCAGTGAGTGTGTGTGTGTGTGTGTGAGTGATTTTATTTACAATGGTGCAGTTTTGTGTTTGATTAGTTCAAGTATTCTCGCCAAGAATCTCTCAATGTTAAATGGGGGGGGGGGGAAATAAATGACAAACTTCACTTTGACTCGGAATTTATTACGTATTGCTCATACAACATTCGATGAGGAGATTTTAACTTATATATCGACCAACTAAATCTCTCTCTTCTTCTAACTTACATACGCACTAATTCAAATAAGTTGACACATTGCCTGAAGACACTTTTGAGCGAGCCAACCCGAGCACATGCAAAATGCAAATATTTGTGATGAATATCGTTTGAGCAATTGATTCAAAGAAAAGGCTTTGTTCAGGAGGAGGATCATTGGCATGTACACGTTAGTCACTGTCATCAAGCTGCTTAAATACATTAAAGGACTATATTTTGGCCCCAAAAAGGATCTTGAGAACACTTTTGCGAAAGAGAGACAGTGTTTGCAGGCGAGAAAGAGAGAGAGAGAGATTTATGTAAAATTCTCAAACATCTTGTATCACTAAAATATGCATACACATTTGATTCAAAGAGGATATTCTAATTGTGACCACAAATTACAGTATTTCGCAAACTCAGGAAATCCAAGTGGCTGCCGCAACCGCTCAAGCAGTTTGAAGTTAATTTTCATTGATTTGTTATATTGTGGGGGTTTTCAATTTTGATCTTTGTGTTTTTTTAAATATTGTTGAATAATAAAGAGAGATTAAAGATAACTCAAGCAATATCGATTACATTGAGAAAAAAATTTAAATTTACTTGCTAAATTTGCAATAATTAAATAATGAAAAATGGTTGGTTTTTTTTTTTCAAAATACCACTTACTTGTCTTTGAACGTGGTTCTCTGGGTCCATCAACGGTTACTTTTATCGCTTTGTTGTATGTAGTAATTTGCGGAGGGCTGGTTGATACTGTTATTGTTAATGTAAAGCTTTTACCTGAAAAAGAAGAAAATTTTCAATCAATTGAATGAAAATCGATAAAAACTCAAAAGCACTATTTTTTAATTCGAAATCACACTTGGAAAAGCCTTGAAAAAAAAAGACGACAACGTTTGAAACTCATTCGCACATTTGGAAAATCATTCGCATATTTCATGATTGAAAAATTTAAGGAAAAAAAGTCAGAATGAAAATGCCGACGCTACTTGTCATCATTATGGATTTAAAACCACTTCAACAAGTCTGCGGATTGGATTTATGTATGCGTGTGTATAAGCAGTGCAGTCATTGGGTGTTATTTATAAAAAAAAAAACAACAAAAATCGTGCAAAACATTGAATGAATTAGCGTGTCATGAATCTTCTACTGTTCGGTTCGCCCAATAACCTCAAATCAAACCGATACTTAAACCATGAAGCCGAAACTTTACCCCACTCGACTAATCGTAGCAACCGCCGTGCATAGTGTGTGTTTTGCAAATATATATTGCATATTCACAAATCGTCGATCCTCTCTCTCTCTCTCTCTCTCTCTCTCTCTCTCTCTCTCTGTGTGTGTGTGTGTGTTTGTGAGCGTATATAGGCGATTGGTATGTTCTCGTGTGCAAACTTGGCTTGGCATTCGTCATCAATCAAGTTCTTGTGATTTTGATTGCTTCGTTACCAGTAACTTTAAACGGCCGATTGATTGCACACCCAAAAAATCATGTATTGCTTCGTTGATTACTTTTTTTTTCATTTGGAATTTGTTTCTGAAATTTTTCCGAATATCAACAAAAAAGAATGAAAACTCATTTACAAATTCCAAATTGAAATAGATTTTGATGATGACTTTTGTTCGAATTTTGATTTCCGTGAGTGTTGCGTGCAACAGACAATTTTAAACTATCATTTCATTTTCGATACACGTGTGTGCCGACGGCTCGAACACATGCGATCTACCAAACATTCTATTAATAAAAACAATGAAATATGATTGAATGTGGCACACGACATTCACTTCGGATCGACGGTGGAATTTTCCTGTTTCAATTTTACTATTGCCAAAGCGATTATTTATTTAATTATCGATTTGTATTTGGGGATTTTGATGTGATTCTATGCTCACATGTCACACGTTTATTTATATTTGATATCATGTTTGTTTTATATCGGTAACAGGCGCTAAAATCTTGAACACTTTTGTTTGATGCTGATTTACGATAGCCAAACACGTAAACATATGCAAATAGTAGTTTTTTAACCCCAAAATTCGATTTGTTTTGAAATAAAACTAAACAAATAAATTGACCTTGTGGCACTTAATAGTCGGTGACATCGATATTCAACCCGGTTTACACAAAAAAAAATACAATAACATACTCTCTGGTTAATATTCTGCATTTCCCGCGTGAACATGCCAGACCACCGTACACTTTATCTACACTTTGCTGACACCTTCATTTTCATGTTTATTTCTTAATGCTTATTTTGCATTGAAAGTATAGCGAGAGTGTGACGAAGGTGTAGCGAACGTATACAATACTCTTTCACACTTTCGTCAGACCTTTGCTTCTTTTAATGTATACAAAAAGAAATGAACGGGAACATGCGGCGGAGAAGTACACATGCACAAACGTTATCTCTTTGTTCAAAAAATCATCTAGTAGCCTACACATATACACACATACGAATATTCATTTGTTGAAAAATAATTTTCATAATAAAATTGTGTCATTTGACACAAACATTGTTCATTAAATTAAACATGAATATTCGTATGTGTGTATATGTGTAGGCTACTAGATGATTTTTTGAACAAAGAGATAACGTTTTTGCATGTGTACTTCTCCGCCGCATGTTCCCTTTCATTTCTTTTTGTATACATTAAAAGAAGCAAAGGTCCAAATACGGGTTATAGTGCCACTTTTTTGGGGAAAAAAATTATCAAACACGTTAGATGGCGTTAGTTTAAATGTAAATTTCTATGTACATACGGTGGCGCCGCCCTACACCAAAAATTACTGAACTATAGAGTAAGGTACTATTGCAAAGGTCTGACGAAAGTGTGGAAGAGTATTGTATACGTTCGCTACACCTTCGTCACACTCTCGCTATACTTTCAATGCAAAATAAGCATTAAGAAATAAACATGAAAATGAAGGTGTGAGCAAAGTGTAGATAAAGTGTACGGTGGTCTGGCATGTTCACGCGGGTTTTTCGCTAAACAAAAAAAAATGTAAATCGCTGCAAAATGGCACAAAAAGGAGGATTTGAAAAAAATTGCGACTCTGGCAGAATGGCTTGCAAACAACATCGGGAACAAAATATAAATGTTCGTCGGTTGATATAATTCAGTTGACTTTTTAAAAGACATCACTCAATTGACACGAGCCGATGAACAGAATGAATGCCGCATCGTCGCATTTCGGACGAAAAAAAAAGTGTGTGTCGTTTTGTACATTGATGGGGTCCATCGGCAAAATACGGTGTTTTTTCCCCGGCCGTTCGAAAGAATTGCCGTTTATTAACAATGAACGACCCATTCGGCATTGTGAAACATGTGCAAATAACCAACAACGATGAAGAGAGGAAAAAAATGATGATATTGCTGAAATGAAAAATACCCACAAAAAAGAGACTTGATGGTTGGAATTGAGCCGAAACATACACCAAATATGATAGAGAAAAAAATCCAGCGCATATACATGCACTAGCATCGTAACTGGTGAGAGAAGAACATGGTGAAAAAAATGCCATATCACAATAACTACCACTTCGCTTTCTCTCTCGCACACTGGCACTGACCAAAATTGTTACTAACAGTAAAACCACGCGCGCTCTTAATTTTGGTTTGAGGTAACACACAATCATAGCCGAAACAAAAGCTAGCCACACACGCAACAGCGGTGACGACGACAATTTGAAACAGTGGCTTTCAAATCACACATTAATTCGCGCCCCGTTTTATGGCAGCGACAGTGGAAAAATATCCTTCGTGTCCGCCCGACATTCACCAATTTTTCATTGAGCCACTAACATTCAGTCCAGCCATTTTGGCTAAATATTCCGAATTTTTCGATTAACATTCAACGCACACCCATCGAACTCGCGAAAAATGGATCGTCTGCAGCTTTGTAGAAAATATAGAGCTTTGCGTATATTATGTGTCATTCTGCCAAATCGTCGAAATGTATTGATCGTATATGGTCTTCTAGATATTGTACTGGTGTTCATTGAAGCGTTTACGATATACATAAATGTACCAACTATATATATAACGTCAGCTGTGGCAATGTATCGTTGTATCGAAGCTCGTTTTCGTTGATGTTTGCTTAACCAAATTACAAGTGTAGTTGAGATTCACTGACTACCCTCTGAATGATTGAAGAAAATTGCGCTTTTTCATTGAGTACGTATATCGACTGTTGGGCACATTATGTATAATTGAGTACAATGCATGGTCATCGAGCCAAATGAACACGATGCCATTGAAAGTCAATAATGAACAATGAAAAAAAAAACTCGAACCCATTGTTGGATACTTGTTTTCTTTTCAAATCTACTTTTGGCTTATGAATTAGTGCTTCTCTCGCTAAGACCCATTGACAGAGGAAAAAAATCGTACATTCACGCTACCTTTTTTCATCACTTTTACTAAATGCTCTCTCTTTCGACGTTACAACGATGTGACAAATGGAAAATCGATGACTTGATCATTTAGTGAATATTTTACCATGAAGTACTACACTATTGCATTGATTTTAATTGGATTTTGGCCGACAACTGACATTTTAAATGGTTGCATTTATTCCGAACGCATTTTAATTGATAGTATGCCATTAATAGCACACTTTTGTGTCGTACACACACATCATTGTCACTCTGTGTCGCCTTTAATGTTCTGGTTGAAACAAAATTAACTTATCGATGATACATCATAGAATTATCATAGAAGAGCTGCTAAAAATGAGGCTTTTATCGCGCTCATTGTGCGGACAAAAAAATTCGATATGAAAATGTCATAGCATTTTTTATGCTTCATTTAGTTTCCTTGGGTTATTCTCTTTCATTTTCATACAATCCCTTTTTTTCCAATGTATCACAGTTCGAACTAATGCAAATTTAATTTCTACGAAACAGCCAACATTTAAAAAAAGGGTTAAAAACTTCTCAGTTGGCACGAGAACATATAAAAAAACGTCCGAGTGGCTTAATGCGATTTTCACTCATCGACATGATAGCATGCGATCACCCATAAAAGACAAATGACAGAGGGAACATTGTTTCATTCAGAAAAAAAAGTGTATGCGATTCTTTCAAGTAAGCGAATTTCCACTTGACAATTGAGAACATTTTTCCCCATTTTTTGCAGTGTTGGTGTGTGCTACAACCAATTTTACACTAATGAATTATTGTTTTAACAACGAATTTAAAAAAGTTTCTAACTGCATTTGGAACGGGATCAGTGTGTGTGGTGTCTATTTGTGCGAAAATGCACTTAAAGTCTGAAGTCCTGGCGCTAAAATGTGTACGTTGAGTGTAAAATGGGGGTTTTATGTTGCCTTGAAAAAAGTTTTTCCTGAAACCACTTTGTTTGATGAAGGCTTTTTACTGGCCCAATTGACAAATTCAAACGGTAATTTTTTGTTCGTCTGGAATATTATTTTATTTGGGTCGTTTGTTCGTACAAAAGGGGATTGCGTGAACACTGTTCTTTTTTTTTTTTGTTTCATTCAGAGAAGACAATAAACAGGTGGAAAAGGAAATAAAAGAATGAATTCGATGCCACCAAAGCTTGATCTAAATCCGAATTGAGTGAGAAAAAGTTTGAATTCACATTTTAATTGGATTTATCCATTTGTAATTTATGCCACTTCTATTGAACACATTTAGAGATAAAATTTTGGTCATGTGTATATCTGTAAATGGGTGATGATGATGATGCGATAATTCGGAATTGTAATGCCATGTGAAATTTTACCAAGTAGATGTCACACAGATCTCGCTCACTGTAAC